TAAGACACATAGTAGCTCTCTGGATCCCTGATGGGATTCCACTAAACTGCGATCTTTGTGAGCCACAAGCGGGCAGCTTGGATCCTGGTATTGGTACAAAGGGGAAGACAGAGATGCCCCGGACGCACCATGCGAACACACAGATACAGTACATAGTTACACTGAGGTTATTAAACACATGATTATGGGAATAACAAAACTGGGACCTATGCAAACCTATCTAAAAACAAAGGTATACACTTCCTACCTGTTGCTGTAGCACGCAGGTTGTAGCAGGATGTTACTCCTGTGGTCTTAAATACACATACACGAAAAGAGGACGTTAACGACAGACTGTCAAGTACATGGATGTACAGCTTTTAATCAGTACAAAATAAAATGGAACAAATAATAACTAATAGGTTCAACCTGTGTTCATTTTCTCAGATGGTAATATCAACATTTTGCAAACATTTAAGTCCTACCCCCTGGGGTGCATCAGGGGCAGTGGCAGCAGTGTTTCTTGAAGCTTCAGCTTGGGTTCTTTGTCTTTTCGTAGGTAAGTTGGATGCCACTGTATTCAACCTGGCTGGAATTGAGGAATGTGACTTTGATTTCATCAGCTGAGCTCCAGCTTTCGGGGGAGGGCAAAGGGATTTAGCAGCTGGCTGTTTCAAGAATGTTTTACGGTCACAGACAAGGTTTGATGGAGGGTCTGATGGCACCTGATCAGCTGGCTTCCTGGGACCATCTGTGTACAGCTTCTTCTGTGCTCCTAGGTGTAAGCCCTCAACTTGCTCAGTGTTCAAGTTGAACATTGTACATTTAGTCATTGGTGTTGAAGTAATCAAACAGTCTGCCTTTAAATCCAGGGTGTCATCCAAATTGAAACACTTGGCTTTGAGGTTCACTGTACCAAAGCTTTGACTGTTTAAAGAATCGGAGAGCCCGCCCACCACAGGCAGACCTGAAAGATCTTTAGTCTCACAGCTGCCACTGCCAGAAGCGTCATCATGGGTTTCAACGTCCTTGCCACTATGGTCCTTAGCATCTGTCGTAACATTATGCTTTGATAGATCAGGGGCAATGTCAATATTGTTGTCTTTTGGGCTGGTGGTTAGATTACTGACCTCAGGTGTGGAGGGCTTGTCTGAAGACCTCGGGCGGATGGTGCATGAGCTTGTTTCTGACAAAGTTATGGTGCCATTGGGCCTGGAGGTATTGTGGTGACTGTCATTTGGGTTCACCTCTGATAAAGTTATTGTTCCATTTGGCTTGGAAGCACTTTGGTGACCGTCACATGAGCTCATTTCTGTCAGAGTTATTGTGCTATTAGGCTTTGAAGCAATTTGGCTACTTTCACTCTGGACCGTTTCCAACAAAGTTATTGTGTCGCTCTTCTTGGAAGGTGGTTGAGAATCAAAGGTGTTGTTCTTGAGGTCTTCCCCTAATACAGTGCTGCCACTGCTTTTATGCAGAGAATGCTTTTCAAATGTGGTGTTCTGCACAGCAAATGGAGCACATTCCTTTAAAGATGAGCAATTTTGATTTGTGATGGGGGATGTTTCAGTGGTGCCAAAACCTGCCTGACCTGAAGTCCCATCTTTGGTGCAGCTTACATTAAATGGAGGAAGATCAAGTGTCTTATTCTGAATGTGGGAAACTGAAGCAGTAGTATTTAAATCATTAGACACGCTCAGATCAGCGGCCTGCATGACATTAAATGTTCCATTCCCGGAGTTTGATGCTTTTGGGTTTGGCTGTGTCGCATAGTTTTTCAACTCATCGTTTACTTTGTGACAAGATTCCACAAGTTCTGAGGGGGGGTCCTTTTGACTACTACTACACTCCATATTCGATGTAGACCTTACACTCTGAGCTGACGTGTCATTGGATGAGGTTGTGTCATGTGTAACATTAGCTGGTTGACTGCTGAATGTATCATCAGGTGATGTTGAGCTCATCTTCATATTTTGTCCACTGGGCTCGTTGGCTGACTTTGCTTCATGGCTGGCAATCAGGTCTTTAATGATAGCTTGAGGTTTATCAGAAAACTCCACAGGCTCTTCCCGGATCTCTGAGGTAGCTTTTTGATTAGCACTGCACTCCACATTAGAGTCTGCAGGTATGTCACTAGAAGATATTATTTCTCGAGTAACTTTAGCAGGATTTTTCCCAAGTGTATCCCCTGCCGATGCTTGACTCGTCTCTATATTACATTCACTGGGCTCTGATGAAGACTTGCTATTTTCCAAAACACTTCCCATAGTAATATCCTGAGTTACACCCAAAGAGGTTTTTGCTATGCTTTCCCCCACACACTTGTCGGATTGTACACTTGTACTTAGCAATTTTTTGCCCGAGATGACACCTGAACTGCTAGGCTGTGCCGCGATTTTTCCACTTTCCATTCCATTAAAAGACCTGTCGCGTTTCAAATCAAGCGGCGGAAGAGCCTGAGTCACATCCATGGAGAAGGTCTGTTGTCCTGATGATAATGGTGAATCACGTGTAACATCAAGGAGAGTAATTTCTGGCAAGAATTTGTCAAGTATCAGCCAGGGGACCGGAGCATGCTTGTTCTGAGAGGCATCAATCATTTTGACATCTGGGTCTGTAATCTCTGTTGTTGCCATATGTTGTGAAAGATCAGGAGGATGAATTTCAGGAATATTTATTTTAGGGCTTGTGCTTGCAGAAGTTGCAGGTGCGCTGTCAGGAGCAGGGGAGTCATTTCTAGTAAGCTGTATGGCAGAATCACACATAGAATCAAATAGGGTCACTTCTGGCAAGCATTCGTCACCTAGGAAGGACACAGGACCATCCATGTCACTGAATAATTGCCCAGAATAGCTACTAGGGGGATCTGAGTTTAACTGTTGGACAGAACCTTTTGTTGATTTTTGACAATCTGCTGTGGCTGCACCAAAGGAGAAAAGAGAAAGTGTCTGACGACGATTATTTTCATGTGTTGAACTTTCTGGAGATTTGTTGCCGATATTTAAGTATTTTAAAATTGGTGTCAGAGCAGACTGGAAAGAAATCCGTGACTTTGGCTTGCTGCCTGTTGGAGCAGGGGTTGAAAAGGTGCAGGTGTCAGAAAGAGGCTTGTTTTCTTCATGGGGCCATTTGAGTTTAGAAGTCCCAGCTTTAACAGTGCCCCCGGGTGGAATGTTTTCACAGCACTCATCGGCATCTGGATTTTCCCGAATGTATAAGCCTCGCCCAGTTGGTTTGTTGGCCATGGATGGTGATGCTTCTTCTCTCACAGAATAAATGAAGGGCTTCTTATTTAAAACAGAGGGCAATACTCAGACTCCACACATATTATCAGCTGTCTCAGATTCCCTGTGCCTAAAATAAGAAAACAGAGCTTGACTTCATTGGCTTATGTAGGCAACTGAATGAAAATGTCTCACTGCTGAATTATTTTACAGCTTTTTTATTTATACAAACTAGATATTAAAACAGCAAAATCAAAATGCAATTTAGCACCGACAGTAACGGACGACTATGTAATCTCAACTTGTGCTGAGTTTCTAATGTTACACCCCCCCAAAAAACAAAACAAAACCCATGTCAATTTATTTTAAACCAGTAAAACTAGAGATTAGGTAACGCATACAGCAACATCATAGCTTAGGAACACAGATTTGGTTTTTAACGTAGAGTTACGGCGGTTTTAGGTTGGAAAACGTTGCTTTCCGATTGTTTACTATGTCATATTTACGATAAATAGTTATTTCATTCATGTAATGCTCGGAACACGAGATCATCTTGAACGAGCATAGGTTAAGCTAAAACCTTGTAACGTTTGTTAGAAGAACGGAACCAGCTCTGCTTACCTGTAAACACGAACTTCTTAGCGGATGTTTATAGATGTGAAACTGTTTTAGTCTCAACGAGATTCTGGTTTGATAAGACAAACACGGATACTACAAAATAAATATCAGCATAAACTCTGAAACGTTTATCTTGTTAACCAACGAAGCGCCTGTCTAGTTCAAAATGTCAGTTTCCTTCACGCTCATTGGATGTTTTACACCAATCATAACGCAAGGATTCTTCTTCTGTGTTTAATCGTGAATTAGCGTTCATGCACAGACGATAGCATTACAGTGCCATCTAACGTTGTTTTGAAAACATTTCGTGACCTTTAAAGTGTGCTTAAGTGGGCTGGGCCAGTGAAACGCTCCTTTCAATCAGTGTGTAAATAAGGTTGACTACACGTGTAATCCATCTTAATGTAAAAAAGGAATGCAATTTCAACAGTATGTCTCAGTTTTTCTACATCATAGAAAAAAATGCAGCTATAGCAAATGAAAGAAATGTGCCAGTATGACTATTTGGGCTTAAACGAGAAGAAATACATATGTAAAATTATAGAAAAAGCTCACTGGCACCACTGTAAAAAAACAAATAACAAAAAACAACCCAGAAATGTCTGTATGATTATATAATAGCATTTAACTGCTTCTGTCATTTAATTCCTTTTTAACCATGCACACACTGTAAAAACACATACATTTTTATAGTATAAGGAACTTCCCTGTCATTTAAACGATTAAATGTATCACCTGATTACTTTAGTGTAATACTGCGGGGGAAGCTCTTTATCAGTAGGAAAAGTTGTACAAAAGTTGTCAATGCAGTGGGCTGCATTGAAGTCTTTGTCGTGGCGATTTTGGCTTCCAGACATTATGTTTGATACCACTGCTCCAGGAGGTTTAAAACAGTATTCATTATAACATTGTGCGCAGCTCTCTGATCTGTTTCTTTTTAGATTCCCCTTTAGTTTTCTACACCGTGCATAATAGGTATGTCAATTCAAACTGTTCTACCATGTTTGAATAGACATTTAGGAAAAGAAATAGAGTAGGGGTTAGAAATGAGTTTATTAGGGTGGCAACTCAGGTTGAACAGTTTGGAGAAGAAATGTTTTCGTGACTGCTCATACAAGGGAACTCGTGTTTCTCTGTTTTGTTTTGTTTTTTAAATTGAGATTAATTGTATCAACACTGTTTTCATGCAAGAAAGTTTATCTTTATTTTACAAATTACATTGAACAAGTAGGGGACATAAAGAACAGTTTCTCAGTACACAAAATTAAAACCATATGTATATTACATTCAGGTATTTGCACGCAGCCATTGAGCTTCTCACTCCTTTGGTGTTTTCTTCAGTTTGGTCTTTAGCTCTGCCATCAGGGGATTTCCAAATCCTCTGTGGACACAGAAGAAAAATAAATAAATACATTTTTAAAAAGTCAGAAACAGGACGTGTCTTTTCTGGTGACTGTTTTTTTTTTCCCCTTTTGCCATCCTTACCCGGGATGTTTTGGTGGCATCCATTTAGGCTTCTTCGGTGCCTCCTCCTCCTCCTGTGGGGGAGCGTCGTTCTTCTCCTCTGGCTTTGTTTCAGGTTCCTGTGGTAATTCCGTCATTTTAATGATACATATATATATCTTAACTTAAGAGGGAAAAAAACAGGTATTTAAACACTCTTAGCAGTACCTGTGACACTGTTTCCTGGGTATTTTCGTCTTTCACTGCCCGCTGTGTCTTTTTTAAAACAGGAAATCCAGCACCGAGCCCTAAGAAAAGCAAACGTGTGAAATCATTTGGAAGTTGTGAAAATAACAGGATATAAAGACCAGAGAAAGTCTTAATAGACTATCAAGACTAAGATATTGGGATTCATGTATCATGAGTGACCTACCAGGGAGTTTTATTCCAATACCTATGCCTCCTAAAGGCACACCTCCAGGGAGTTTGACCGGCAAACGTGAAGATGGTGTAGGTGTGGGTGTGGGTTCCTCCGAGGGCATATGGAGCAGGGAGCGGGGATTTTTAGGTGGCCTTACACGAGGGTTCTTAACAGCAATTCGTGACCTTTGCACAGCAAAGTCCAGCACAGGGCCATCCACCTGTAATGCCCCAAAAGTCTGTTATGAACATTGTTTGATTTTAATCAAAAATTTTTTTATGCCATATAGAAACAATACCTTATTCTCATATTCGATTGTTGGCTCTTCGGCTACCTGGGCCTCGTTTAGCACAGGAAATAAGGATGAATGTGCAGGCTGTGGTCTATTCAGTGTGTCCTTCTCAGGTTCACTTTGTGAGTCGCTTTCAGATTCTTCAGACTCAGCGGGTTTGAGGTCATCTGAAGAATCAGACGCGGTTACCTCAAGATGCTCCTCCTCAGCTTCCACCTTCTTGTCATGCGAAGGAGAGCTCTGTGTTGTCATTGTTGTTACATCTGCTTCTTCAACATCCTCATACGCTTTCTGTGATCCACTTTCAGTCTCTAATGTTTCAGCTCTTTCTTCTGCTTTTTCTTGAGATTCCTGGTTCAGATGTGATTGAGCTTCTATATCAGCGACCGATTCTTTCTCTGTCTCGGCTGATTCCTCTGTCAGTAAGTCCTGAGTTTGAGGCTGTGCGATAACTCCAAAGATGTCTGTGGACACGCTAGCCACCAGCTCATGGATCCCCTGGAGTGAGTCAGTGCTCGTTGATTTCAGCAGCTGAGTCTCACTACTCTGAATACACGATTCACTGAGAAACTGGTTCAAAAATCCAGACTCCACAGTTGATGAAGACTTTTCTGTGTCACTTACTGCCTCAGATTCCCTACAAATGGCCTCTGCTAGTGACACTTTCTCATTCTCTGTTGATATTTCACCCTCATTTAAAGTGTCTGTTTTGGCGTCCAATAGCTGCCCTGGCTTGGGCTCTTCTTGTCTAATCTCATCAGTGTCCTCTGACATCACCGCCTCAATCCACAAGTCAAGGATTTCTTCATCAATTACGTCTTGATGTCCACTGACTGAACCGCCTTTTTCCTCTGATGACGTCACTGGCAAATCCTCTGGTCTGGGCTCGTCAGCTGTTTCAGCTACTATTATTTGTGTCTCACTTATCTCAAGTGCTCTGTGTGGCGACTGATTGTTTATCTCCTGAGTCTCAGAGTGTTGAGATATTTCCAATTCTGCATTCAGAGGAATCTCTTTGTCTCCTCTTTCTGTGATTAGCTCACCTGCAGTTTCTTTAGTTATCTGTAAATCCATTTCATTTAAGGTCTGGATTCCATTTTCTGCTTCCTCCTCTTCATCTTCACAACCCCTTCCTTCTTTTTCAATGGCTTTATCTTGCATTTCAACAGAGGTATCATCAATGGATATAGGCTCAGTTTCAGCTAAGTGTCTCACAAACCCATATTCACTCGTGTCTTCTTGTAAACTTAACGGTCTGCTGATGCTTTGATCCAACTTTATGGCTGCTACTGACTCCTGAATGACGAATCCAACCACTTCTGCTGCAACCGCTTCTCTTGTTTCACCTCCTGTAGATCCTCTGCCACCATCATGCAGCCCTTCTGATCTCCTTTCAGTCTCGTCCACTACACCAACATGTGTTCCAGTCACCTCTGTCTTCATTGAACTTGTCAGTAATTTTCCTTCTTCTTTGTCAAGTCCCGATTCTTGAATTACTCCTTCAACAAGCTTGCTCTCTGCCTCTAGTTCAAGGTCCGGTGTTCCTTCGTGCTCCTCCACAAACAAACCAAAGCTCGTCTCAGTCTCTTCTTTGCTTTCTTGTTTGTCTTCCATGGACTCCTTCAGCGGTAAATGGTCAGCTCCAGTCCTGCAGTCACTGTTTTCAAGGCTCTCCTGATCTCCGCTCTCCACCTCTTCTGGTAATTGAGTTGCCGGGATTTCCTCACAATCTCCTGCTTCCAGGAACCTTTGTGTTGTATTTTCATCGGCCCTCCGAAGCTCATTGTTATATTTGGAAACTCCCTCTTGAATTTCCTCACACGTTGGAGTATTTAGTTCCTGCAGCACGGCACACTGGCCTTCACTGATCCCCGGGAGAGTGTTTTTAAATTCTTCGTCTGTTTCCTGCGTCGTTTCGCCTTTGGGCTTTACTGTAACTGAGGTGCTTGAATCTATAATTTCGTTGTAAAATTCTCCGGTGTAGGATTCACTGGAGACGCTCTCCTCTTTTTCTTGGTCTTGATCAATGAGTCTCTCTTCTGAAATATCTGTTACTGTCACACCGGTCTGCCTAGTTTTGGTCTGCACTCCTGGGACTCTCATATCCTCCTCGTATTCATCTGTGAATCCAGCTGTGTGCAGCTGTGAAGCAGTCTTCAGTGCAGCTTCTTTACCGGATAAATCATATTCAGTTAAAAGATTTTCTCCTTCAGTGTCTTCTGCTTCTGTTCCGATGTTCTCGTCCAGATCTGGCACTTCTGTTGTCTCGTTGACGGCAGGCCGCTCTGTCTCAACCCACTTCTCTTTCTCACCTTCATCATTTTCACTGCTATGAGTCATTGCATAAGATTTTGTGATAACAGTGAGCATAACCACTGATGTATCTGGCTGGTCTCCAAAAGCTGAGAGCTGATTTTCAGCTTGACTTGTTTTCTCCTCTGACTTGATTACATTTTGAGAGTCCAGTTGTAGCATAATATCACAGGCTTCTGATTCTAAACCTTGATCATCTTCATGCTGCATTTTATCATCTTCTTCCTTTAACTCAGTTTCTTTAATGTTATCTGTCATTGGATGATCTTCCAGTGTCATTACATCATTTTTCTGTACCTCTGCCTCCTCTTCTGGACTTACATCTGTACCTATGCACACTTTCACCTCAGTGTCGGTTTTATCATTGTCCTCTGCTGCCTCAACAGTTTCTGGCTCTAAATCTTGTTCATCTTCATGCTGCAGTTTATCATCTTCTTCCTCTAATTGAGTTTCTTTGCTTTCATCCTCTCTTGGATGTTCATCCAGTGTCGCTGTATCAGTTTTCTGTAACTCAGCCTCTGTTTCCTGCTTGTGATCATCCAGTACTGGACTTATATCTGTAGTTATGCACAGTTGGACCTCAGTGCCCTCTGCTCCTAACTGCTGTTCATCTTCATAGTCTGTTTTATCATCTTCTTCTGGTACTTCAGTGTCTTCTACTTCTAAATCTTGTTCATCTTCATGCTGCATTTTATCATCTTCTTCCTCTAACTGGGTTTCTTTAGTAATTTCATCCTCTCTTGGATGTTCATCCAGTGTCACTGCATCATTCTGCTGTTCTTCAGACTCTATTTCCTGCAGGCGATGGTTATCATCATCATCGGACTTAACGTGCATGCATAATTGCTTCAAATCTCTGATTGTTTTCTTCTTTAAGTGCTTGAACATCATCTTTTATCTCATAGTTTCTTTGTTATCTCTGAGTATCCGTGTCGCGTTCATCTGTAACACTGTTCCTGCTTGTGATTCCACTGTTATCTGTTTATTGCTCAGCCTCTGCTCCTATGCTCATCTTATAGTTGTAATCTTCTTTGGTCTCAGTTACTCAAATTGTTCACTCATGTGCATTTTCATCCTAACTGGTTCTTTAGTTTATTGGATTCATCCAGTGTCACTGCATCATTCTGCTGTTCTTCAGACTCTATTTCCTGCAGGCGATGGTTATCATCATCATCGGGACTTAAACTTGTGCTAATGCACACTTTTATCTCAGTGTCTTCTGCTTCCAAATCTGCATGATCTGTTTTTTCATCTTCTTCCTTTAAGTTGTCTTCTTTGAACATTTCATCTTCTATTGGATGATCTTCCTCTAATTGAGTTTCTTTGCTTTCATCCTCTCTTGGATGTTCATCCAGTGTCGCTGTATCAGTTTTCTGTAACTCAGCCTCTGTTTCCTGCTTGTGATCATCCAGTACTGGACTTATATCTGTAGTTATGCACAGTTGGACCTCAGTGCCCTCTGCTCCTAACTGCTGTTCATCTTCATAGTCTGTTTTTTCATCTTCTTCTGGTACTTCAGTGTCTTCTGCTTCCAAATCTTGTTCATCTTCATGCTGGATTTTATCATCTTCTTCTTCTAATTGAGTTTCTTCAGTAATTTTATCCTCTTTTGGATGATCATCCAGTGTCACTGCATCATTCTTCTGTATCTCTGCCTCTCCTTCGTACGTATGAGCCTGATCTTCTGGACTTATATCTTTGATACTTCGATACACGTTTATCTCTGGGTCTGCTTCTAAATCTCGCTCTTCTTCATGATGAAGTGTATCATCTTCTTCATTTATTTGGGTGTCTTTGATAATTTGGTCCTCTCTTGGATGATGATCTGGTGTCACCGTATCAATCTTTTGTACTTCTCCTTCCCCTTCGTGCACGTAATCCTCCTCTTTTGGACTTTTTGTCATGCATACTTTGAACGCGTTCTTTTCTGCTACCAAATTGTCATCATCACAGTGCATATTGTTATATTCCTCTCTTACTTCAGTGGCTTCTGCTTCTGAATCTTCTTCCTTTTCATGATCTGCTTTAGCATTTTCTTCCTTCAGCCGGGTTTCTTTAACAAGTTCCTCCCTTCCCGAATGATCATCCAATAACACTGCATCATGCTCCTTTACCTCTCCCTTTCCTTTCTGCATGTGATCCATATCATCTGGACTTATACCTGCAGCTATGCATGCTTTTACCTCAGTGTTTTCTGCTTTTAACTCTCGCTCATCTTCACTGTGCAGTTTATCATCATTTTCTTCTTTTCTCAAAGTGTCTTCTTCTTCAAGGTCTTCCTTCTCTTTATTATGGGTTTGATCCTTTTCTCCTTTTACTTGGGTTTCTTTTATTTTTTCCTCCTTTGTTGGATGATCACCGGGCAACCCTAATCTCACTGTTGCATTCTCAGCATCAGTTTCCTCCTCAGTTGTTTCTTGGCATGTTGCAACCTCGGACAAATTTTGTGGTCCAGAAGCGGCATGTTCATGTTCATCATTTCCAGGCCCTGCAAGTCTTGCACAAGTGGGCATTTTTTCGATCTCCATCGTGTGTCGTTCATCTTCTTTTGCTCTTGAATCATTTGAATGATCATTTCCTGTCTTGTCACGCTGTTCCTCTCTCTTGCCCTCACCATCCTCTTTGCTCTCGTCAACTTTTCTCAGCTGGGTTTTGTACTGCATGTTTTCTTCATCAACCCCTAAGTCGATTTCTGTGGTGCAAAGTTCCCATTCGACAACGGGGCGAGACGAGCTCAGCAGAGAGGATGTTGCGACAAGCTGCTCCTCCTCGACACCTTCTCTGCTACTGTCACCCTCTGTTGAGTCAGAGGGAGGGTGCTTGATTTCAGCTGCAGATTCCTGATTTGTGTTTGGGTCATTGTTGACAGTGTCAGCGGGCTGTGGCCTGATGAATCTGTTTACAGCTCCAGTTATGTAGTACTAAGAAAAAAAGGAAGGAAAAAGAAATTTGCATTATGTAACACTTTAATTTGCAGCATCAATAAAATCCAACAAAAGACAAAAGTGTGAATATATTTGTTTTCCCCGCATTGATTTATTTTCAGTCATTCCAGGTAGTTTGTATAGCCCATGTTTTTTTTGGTTTGTTTTTTTTAAAGATGCACAAGTAGCATTTAAAGACTCTTAGTGTCACTGCATTCAAGGCTATTTACACAACAGTTTCTTTCCAGCTTTGCAGAAACTTCGTGGAAGTCTTTTCCTGTTTCAGCACCACAATACTCCCATGCACAAAACACAGCCATGAACAGGAAGAACCTGACCGGCCTCCATGGAATCCTGACTTCATTGATTATAAGTTACATTAACTGCTAATGTATTAAAGTAAAAAGAAAAATTCAATGTAATAGACTTTAACCCTGTCAGTGCCCACCCCCCAAAAACAAACAAACAAACAAACAAACAAACAAACAAACAAACAAACAAACAAACAAACAAACAAACAAACAAACAAACAAACAAACAAACGAAAGAATTGCATAAAAATGAGAATAAGAATTATTTGTATTATTTTTGTTTCATTTGTTAAGATGTCCAAAAAACACTCCTGTTAAAAAAAGAAAATAAAAATCATGGTCCATTCTTTACAGGATTGACCAAAACACAAACATTTTATAAATACAACATGGCAAACATAAAGCATTTAGTTTACGCTGAGAAACATCTGCATTTATTTCAACTTATGTCTTTTTGAGGATCTCATGATATTTTCTTTGTTTAGCTGTTTATTTTATCTCCAACATCCCCATATTTGTCTGTTGTAGCTGGTGCACACTGTTCACCAACTACTTGCTGGTGAACACACTTCACCAGCAAGTAGTTTGATTGTATTAAGATTTGTTTGTGGGCATCATGTCCTTTATTGGACACAGAAGTGCACACAATAGACTCAGAAGTGGGAAGAAGGAGTGTGAGTAAGCAGACTCAAACCCAAGCACCTAGAAAGGAGACTCAAGCCTCCAGAATATGGGTCACCTGTTCAAACTGGTGAAACAGGCTTTAAAACATCAGAATCTGTTTATTTTCATTGTATATCACCAAGTGTCACAATGGCTATCGAGACCAGCTGTCAGGCGACTAAACTGTGACAATAACTACCTGCCACGTCTGAAAAGCAGGTTGATGAGAGAAGCGAGAGCGGTTTAAAAGCAGATGTGAGTCCAAAATAAAGAGATGAAAGGAGCTGAATTTTTTTTGTAGATGTCATGCGAACTGTTATTAGTTGATGTGGGTTCATCACTACCAGAAATGTGAAATAATTAAACATCCAATCCAATTATATTTTAATCTAACCTAAAAAACAGAGTTTCATGAAGTGCTGTATGAAGCAGCAAAGCATGGCACAGCAATAAAACAATAAAAACAGTGATGAAGACAAAGTAAGAACACAGCACTATCATTCTGGGTTAAAAGCCAAGTAGTTTAAATTAGTTTCAACGTGTGTTTTAAAAAAACAGGCAACCAGCGGGAAATCCTAACATGGACAGACAGATAATTCCAAAGTCTATGGCTGTGATAGATGAAAATAAAAAACCCAAACAAACAAAATCCCCAAACAGGAAACATAAATCAGTGCACCCTAAGCAGAAGTGAACAACAATAACAGCAGGACTCTGAAATTTAAACCCAGTAAATGGTACACCTGCGTTTCCTGTTTGTAAGACTGTCTCCTGTGTAATAACAGTCTCAAACAGTCATTGCGCTCCGGGATGCACTGTGAGGAATCTCACTAATGCTGCAACTGCAAGGAGCGCACATATTACAAGGATCAGTTCTCAGAAAGAACTGCAGACAGTCTCCAGCTGATGACCAACAGAGCAATCAGATCTCAAACGTCTGCTGTGATCTATAATCATAATCTCTCAATCAGCATCCAGCAGGTTAATGTGCACTTTGAAGGAGAAAAGGTTTCAGCAGTTAATAAAGGCTTCTGTCTAAAACAGAGAAGCTGTTCCAACAGATGGACAAAAGATTTCTTTGAACTGTTAAGCTTTGATTTGCACTTAATGTTTTTACTTTTGAAGAATTACTTTATTTGAACCTGTCCAGGTTCAAATAAGCATGGAGAAGACTTCTTTGTCTTGGACGTGAACATGCCAGTGATTCACAGACATCCCCTCTCTCTCTCCCTCTCCCCGAGAAAGGGAGGGGGTAAGCAGAGACATTGCATAAGGCGGATATGCGTGGAGAGAGAGAGACCCACTGACACACAGGAAGAGAGACTATTTACATCCACGTTTGACGGACTTAAAAGTTTAAAACACAAATCTTTCGTTTCGTTACAGGTTTGGATTGAAATGATGACGGCTTCTCACCCAGACTGTCCACAAAGTTCTCTCCATGCGGGACACGGGACTTTCAGGGTCCATCCTTACGCTTCCTCCTTGGTCACTCTCTGACCATCTGACGTGACGTTCTCGTTATTAAAAAAAAATCATGGACAAACCAAAGCACTGTGTCACTTTAGTTTTCCCCCCCTAAGCGGTCTTTGCAACCAGGCAGAAAGTCAACAGAAAGTTGCAGCCAAGCGCGTCCAGGATGGAAACACATCAGCTGTTAGTGGCCGTTCACTTCCTCCCCCTAGAACTGACATATGTCCGGGGTATGATAATGAGGAAGAGACAGATTAACACACACATTCACACGTTAACATAAGAAGACGCGTTGCAGACTTTGCGGATGTGAATAATGAGCATAGCCACAGGAAAAAAAAGTTCGTAAAACTCTGTGACAGATACCGAAGCGCTGCTCTGAAACGGCGCTGCCAGGATCCACCTGAGAACACGCATTCATGATTAAATGACTGAGACCGCCACGTAAATAAGCACATGTTTATTGTTTGCATGAATACATTAATGAAATGTAACACAGAGGATACCTTTTGATTGAATTAGACACCATTCAAAGAGACCCATAAACCAAGAGAGAGTCATTATTTTCACAAGTTACAAAAATAAATCATAAGGCATATGCACGAGCAATAAAATATTTCTGAAGAGCGCTTCTTGACTTTATGAATCTTCTTTTTGTGCATCCTAAATGGGTGACTTCACCAGCCAGTTGTTGCTGAGTGCTGCTGCATATGAAGGATAATAATACAATGCCTTTTATGGGTACATAGAGAGCTGTGCAAAGTCTCAGAAATAGCTCCGGCTGATGCGATATGAGTCAGCTGATCGCCGCAAGTCTTAAAAAACAAACAAACAAACAAACAAAAAAAACAACGAAAAAACATCTGGGGGCGTGAAGGTGGCCTGTTCCAAACCACCAACCCCCTCCCCCCGCTCATGACACACTGTAGAGTCAGGTCAACTGAGCACGAAAGAGTCACATTGGCATTAGAAAAGAGCATGTCCCAAATTTGGTTTCATCTGATTTTAGCTTCTTAAAAAATACCTTATTTCCAGTGACGTCATTGACCAATTGGACGTGACTCACCTCTAAGTTCCATTATTAAGCAGATATCTCTCAGTGAAAATGTTTTTAGCCCTTCGTACTGTCACCATCGAATCAAATGCTCACAAAGTCACAATTATTCTCACTTTTCATTTGGTTTGTAACTCTGGGGCAAATTTTAGGGCTCTGTTATTTTTATATAGAACGATTTCTAATGGTAGTTAAGCAGCTGTTTATGTTTTTATATGTAGGAAATAATATGCAATTTCTACAACATGGAAGAGGTGGAAGTAAGATAACCGTTATTTTTACAATCAAAGAACTGAAACGGTGCGCTGCAGTATCTACGGGGAGGCTGTTAACATATTTGCAGCAGAAGTAGCTGCTCTATGAACTCAAAGGCAGAAGCTGCAAGCTAAAGAACTAAGAAGTTATATATTTATTGGGCTCAGCTGCACAACACCTCCTCGCAGCACTGCGGAGGCGGTGCTGCTGTGGTCAAGAGTGGAGAGTAAAAAAACAGAAAAGAAAAGCCCAGCGTCAAAGCAGAAGTGCCTTTTAAAACGAGAAGTAATTTCCGATACGTCGGTTGACCAACAACAGATATCTCCTTTGCATGAGGCTTGCTGCAGTAACCTTTTCTAATAACTCATTATCACGAGAGCCTTGAAAGACTAGAATATTTAGCTTTTATTTCAAAACGCTGATTAAAGCTAATCAATTACTGTTGTAACATTATTTGTAAAAAAAAAATATTAATATTTGTAAAAATAAGCAGGAAGGAAAAAATAAAAGAATGTCAGAGTAAGAATAGACTAAGAATATAAATAAATGCATGATCACATCATAAACTGTGTCAGTAATAGTTCATATTTTCTGAGGGGATAAATATTAGATACATTATAATAGAAATAGACTGATGCAGGACTTTCATGCAGTGGATGAATTCTCCTCATTGGGCTCTGGAAGAGGAAAAGAGCAAAACATGAGAAAAACTCTCCCCTACTCCATGTGATCGAATTAGCCTCTTCCTGTACGGATAGATAACAGCAAGTACTCGATAAGTGATTCTCTGGCCTTACTGAGGTTACTTCAACAGGAGAAGGGCTTAAGTGTTCACCTGTCCATGTCCGGTAAACAGGAAGCTTGAGAGCAGGGTGCGTGATCTCCACGCAGACTCTCAGACGTGCCCTCTCGTTTTCTTTGAGAACCCTGCTCAAGTTGACCTTATTGATGTGCAGCGCGCTCGGGTCGTCCTCTCCGTCCTTCTCGCCGTCTGACGTCGAGTCCTCATCCCTGTCTATGGTGTTATTCTCCTCATCCACGTTTTCGTCGATGTACTGTATTCCTTCGATGTCGGGGTCTGTGACTGCCGCTTTTGTTTCTGAAAAGTGATGAAAGTTCAAAAAACACATACAGAGCTGTATATTTTTGCTTTCTTACGATCACCCTCGCTTGTAAAATGAAAGTGGACATTTTAATGCACACCAAAGAAAGATTTACTTCAGTGCTTATTTTCCTTTAAAAATAATCCTAGGGGATAGCGTTCCACGTTTAGTCTACCAGACCATAGACAGTAGAAAGCATTCAGACTTTCAGCTTTCCAGGTGTATGTAAACTGCATTCTATCCGACGGCCAGTTGATGGCGACAGTTGCATGGCAAAAAGAATAAAATTGAGTCTGTTTCGTATATTTTGGTCACAATATGGAGGATTATCTATGATATGAAAAGCTCATTGTCTAATGAGCTGTCAGTCCCAGATCATTAGCCAGTGTGGGTGTAGTATTAAACTCAAAACCATCAGAAACCAGTGGGTTCCATCTGTATTTTATACCATCTTTGACTCTAAGAAAGGTTACAACTGAATTTGTCTTATCTATCTATCTATCTATCTATCTATCTATCTATCTATCTATCTATCTATCTATCTATCTATCTATCTATCTATCTATCTATCTATCTATCTATCTATCTATCTATCTATCTATCTATCTATCTATCTATCTATCTATCTATCTATCTATCTATCTCCTTTTACGTGTAGATATTTATGTATCTCAGTACTTATTGCATATCCATTTGTTTGTCTCTTCAGCGGTTCGTTTGTCTGACTCGGTTGGCTTGTGGACATCTCCAGGGCACACACGCTTTTCATTTCTCTTTGTCCGTCATCTCCGATCTCCTCCGTCTCATTGGACACCAGTGGCAAGAGCGTGGGTCCTCCTGCTGACCACTGTAACTTGGCCTTTGGGTGACCTCCCTTCAACAAGAGGGAGAACACACCAATGCCTTCGCTGCTCCAGCAGACTGAGATTGATGGAGGAATGGATGGAGAGACTGAGGAACAAGGGATACAGATAGTTACTGTTGGAACATCCTTGAGACTTTAATCGTGCAGTTTAAAAAGCAGGTAAAAGTGCGTCAGTCAGTCCTACCAATGTCAGCATTTCTCCAGTGTTTCTCAACAGGATCCTGTAGGGAACAGTGCCTCACTCTACAAATAATCCCTCCTCTTTTGTCGATTTTCTCCTGATTTGTTGCCCTTCTCTTCAGAGTGGCTGTCGCCCTGTAGCGTCTGGGTTCAGTCTGTATGGGGCCCCATATCTCTCCTCCCTCTATCACCTCCTCCTCTCCATCATCTTGCTCTCCCTCCCTGAATCTAAGCCAAGTCACTGAAATGTTCGGAGGGTAGAAATCTGTGATTTCACATCCTAGAGTTTGATCTTGGGAAATGGTGGAGCTGACAATTTCAGATACGCACGGCCTCCTGATGAATCCTGTTTGGGATCAAAATAAAAAAATAATCTTTGATTTTTCAACATTTCCCCCATTCCCTCCTCATCCCTCATCCTTACCTCTGGTCTCCCGGGTGATGGGCTGCTTCAGGGCAATGTGGTGGACGCTGACCCAGACTTTAGTTGCTCCTTTCTCCAGTTCAGCGCGGGGAAGTTTACACTGGCTGTAGGCTGAAAAGAATCCCTCCGAATTGGGCCGAGGGGAGGACGATGCCTGAGACGCCACGGGGCTGAGCTCACCGCCCTGGCAGAACCAGCGGAAAGTGATGACGTCTGGATGGAAATGGGATGCTCGGACTGTCAGGCTGATGACATCTGGAAGATGGAAATGTCATCAATGGTAGCCTCCTGCAAACAGGTTAACTTTAAATATGCAATACAAAAGGATAGTCTTCTTGAATTACCCGAGTCTCTTTGTGTTTCTGCCAGCTGTATTTCTGACACCTCAGGAGGAGCTGGGCAACAAAACATACAAGTGATTCAGCTGCAGGACTTACAAAAATAAACTGAATAATGGAAAAAAAACATGTTCTTACACAGAACAGTGAACTTCTCCGACACCCTCTCCTCCACGATCTTGTCCTTGCCTATGTAGGACACCTGGCACTTAAACACAGCACCCTTGTGGATTGAAATCTTGGGGATGAAGGTGAGCGAGGAGATCAGCTGTTGAGTGCCGTTTTTGGACGAGTGCAGCGGCCCCTGAGTGTGCAGCTTGTAGTAACCCATTTCACCTCTGGAGGGCAGCAGAGGACCTTTCTCTGACACTGGGGAGGTGAGAGTTAGACCATAGGGTAGATGGATGGTGATTAGGGGGTTACAGAGGCAGTTAAAGTTAGCTTTGGAAGTCCCTGTGAGTGTCAGGTGGTCAATTGTTAGATCAACGTGTTAAAGAGGGGGAAACAGAGGACGTTAAAGGGTGTTTGCGAGAAAAATCCAACATGTGTAGCACCAACACTTGCATTTCATTTCCCCAGTTCCCTAAACAACCAGCTTCCATCACCAAGAATTGCTTTAAAGATTGATTCTGCTGTGCTTTAAATATGTGTAAATTAATTCCTTCATTCAAACAATAAGTGTAACAGCTGGAGCACAGAAAAAAAAGGAGAATGCGACGCATCCTACCTGCGAGGGAGTTGTCAAAAATAGGGGTGTCATTGAGAAACCATGCGGTCTGCACCTGGTCCACCCTCCTGCCTTCAATGCTCAGCGACACCCTCCCCTTTTGACCTACTATCACTCGGGGAGGGAGGATGATCCCTGACACGCTGAGAGATTTCTGTTTCTCTGAGCAGGGTCACAAGCAATTATAAAATAAGAGACACTGAGAGAGAGAGAGAGAGATAAGGTGATATATTCACATACAAATATGCCTTTAAATTCCTTATCTACAGCTCCACACTTGGAGTAAGGTGAATAATGCCA